TGAACGAAGTTGAAAATAGATAAACACGTCATTCACAGACACCAGAATGAACACGTCCACAGTGTGTTCATCTGCAGTGATACAGTGATCAGTCAGTGTGTTCAGTTCACGTTCGCCCAAAATATCAACTATCGTTCAATAAAAGCATTCAAGTAGAACACTGCCTGGAGTTGTGTTTTGTTTCATTCACATGTTTAACACACAAACCCTGCACATTTAGGCTGAGTTCTTCTCTCAAACAGAAAACACTCTGTTAACTCTTGTGATGTCATGTGATGATACAGGAAGTGCTCCATTGTGTTTTTAAAGTACATACATCTTCACTAGAATCATATGGATCATGTTGTCATTGGAATTGCCAATCTTTACTAAACAAAAGGTAAAAAAAAATAGCTGTCAACTTGAAGACTACCACATCGAGACATCATGACATCACAAAGTGGAACAGAGCATTTTGAGTTTTGGACATGTAATATAGAACCTTTAATAAAACAGAGGAGCAGAGTAGCAGGTGTCTGTTTTTATAGTGAGTTTTTGGTTTCCTTCTTCTTAAAGCAGGTCCATGTGAGGAGCAGGAGGCAGGGGGCAGCAGAGAAGAGGAGAGAAGAAAGAGGAGAGCTCCAGGGCAACACCATTTTGGGACTCTCCATTAGAATAAGAATGGAAAAAATAAATATTCAAATACTACAGCATAGGTTTAACTCATGCATGCAGGACGCAGGGCCAAAACACATTAGGACGACAGAGAAACAGAGAGTGGAAAACTGCTTCACTGTAGGTTTTATTTAATCACATGAAAACTACTACAAGACCTTGAACAGGACTTTTTATTAAGTCTGTAAGTCTGACAAAATCTTGGAAAAATGAGAAAATGTCCCAGTTTTCTTCCTCTCCGTGTCATTGTAGTGTTCTGTTATGTTCGGTTAATCAACATTTACAACCAGACCTCAGTTTTCATCATTTCCCCACTGACACACAACAAACACACACAAAACACAACTCCAGGTCTGTTTGTGAGGAGAAAACTACATCATAACATAGATCAGAAAATATTGTGATATGGGCCTTTGAAAGTATAATTTTGTGTTTTATGTACCATGCAATAAACATATCCTTTGTGGTTTCTTTTTCTGTTAGAGTTGGTGTTATTTGGCTTGCAGTGTTTTGCTCATAGACACCACAACAGTATTACTAAATATACTAGTATAATATAAAAGTGGATTTATATTTAGAGAGAGAGTGAGTTATTTAACTTTTTTCCCCCTTTATTACATAATTTTTTTTCCATTTTTTTTTCAACTTGCTTCTAATTTTTTTCTTTTTTTTCTTTATGCAAAAGGTGTTGCAATAAATTTTTTTTTTTTTCCAAGTTCATCATACATAATATATATATATAGTGTGTGTATATATATATAGTATATATATTATTATATATATATATATATAATATATATATATGTTAACGTTTTTAATTGTTTTAACTTGATTATATGAGTTTGAAGATCATTTGATGCACAAATTGAACTTGGTGTAGTCAGTGAGGTTTTGGGGGATCACTGTATTCAGGCCAAATTGGATCGGTTTTATCGGAACTGGGCGTTTTTGAAATGGATTGCCAATGAAGAGATGGTCCTGACTCCAATGTCAACAAAAAATAAAGAGCCTGCGAGACAAATACAAGGAGGATAAAGACTCAAACAAACGAAGAGGCCCTGGACTTTTGGGGTGATCACATACAAGTCACATTAAATTTTAAATGTGAACGACCTCGGCAAAAACTCAAATTTCACAAAAAAATCCAAATTGAGCATTAAGCCCTGCAGTCTGAACATAGCTATATTGTCTTCTTTGTAATTTTGTTCTTCTAAATTGCCTCTAGTGAAAAAAACAGCTTTACCGAGTCTATACAATAAATATGAATAAATAAAACAGAATAACAAGTGTTTAAGTCACGTTTGGCACAGTACGGACACAGCACTTCTGATCTAATTCTTCACCAATCACCATTTGAAATTATGTGCATAATTATCCGTCTCTATATGTAAAGTTGTTGTGCATAATGCATGACCGCTGCGTGTAACATATGCGTGAAGCGGGAGGAGGCACGGATCCGGGGGTCTGCGGTCCGTGTTAGCTGGCGCGGCTAATTAGCATAGCGGTTATTAGCTGCCCCGAGCCGACTGGGGCGTGGAGGCTGCATCAGTATGGGACGAGCGCGTGCATCCGCTTCCTGCAGGGTTAACACGCTAACGGGAGCACAGATCACGACGTTTACAAGTCAAATCATCGAGCAAATGCAGAGTTTAAAAGGGGAATGTTAAGTATTAGTATGACTAGAGGGGAAAAATGAATTAGGCTCAGAGAAATGTCTAAAACGAAGCAAGAGTAAATCAATGAATGTGTGATTACATTTTCTTTAAAGGTCCTATATTACGCAAAACTGACTCTTGTGAGCTTTAAGTCACGTTATAATACTGTTACCTCATCAAAAACACACCTGGAGTTGTGTTTTGTTTGAGTAATCAGTTTTTTTTTTAAGTCTGTCTACATCTCCAAACCTCAAAATGCTCTGTTCCAAGTTGTGATGTCATGAAGCGGTAGTTATCAACAACTTTAGTTCACATAGACTGGCAATTCCTAAACAGAAATGAGCCAAATGATTCTAGTGAAGGTGTGGGGAGTTTCAAAACACGGTGAAGCACTTCCTGTATTACCACATGACATCACAAGGTGGAACAGAGTGTTTTCAGTTTGAAAACAATGTGTGAATGAAACGAAACACAACTCCAGGTCTGTTTGTGATGAGGAAACAACATTTGAACTAGGGGTGTTCAAAAATATCAACATATCGATTGGTATTATCGATATTGTATCATTTAATATGATGATACAGGATCAGTATCGGGAATTGCTGTATCGATATATCACAAGAGAATTATTTGTTCTACTTTACTCCATTATTTTGTTACAGCTACAGTTTTGTTGTTTGTTAAGTGGAAGGAAACTTGTTTATGCAACAAATTTGACATTTTCACTGTTTTCATGATGTAATATGGCTCTTTAAGTTATAATTCGTTAACTATTTACATCAGTTAGAAAATTAACTTCCCCAGGTCTTAGAACACCTTGGGATCCCCCTGGAGGAGCTGGAGGAAGTGTCTGGGGTGAAGGAAGTATCGAACTCCCTGCTTAGACTGCTGCACCCGTGACCCAGCCCCGGAAGAAAGAAGAAAATGGATGGATAGAAAATTTGTAGGCCCCCATAAAGACTGAAATATTTATCTAGTCTAGGGTTGTTAAATGTATCAAAAACAGCTTCTTATCGATACTAAAAATAGTATTGAATAGATACTCATTTATGCAAGTATCGATACTACAAAAGACACATTCACAGGACAGAAATGAATTGTTTCTGAACAGATTTAGAATGATGTTGAGCTGTATCTGAACAAGTATAAGAGCACATAGACTAGTACACACACATGGACCAGGGTTTACACACTGAGGGTTTACACACGTATACAGACAAATGGGGATAGAAAAGAAAGTACCACCATTTAATGCTGAAAATCACATTCTATTCACTAAAGAAAGAGTGTTTGTATTCAGTACCGAGTATCCTGTCTATTTCTTAGTACTGAAATCAAGTTTGAAATGTTCGTACGATTACAGCACTACTTCAAATTATTTTGAACAGTTTAATAGTGTGTGTATTTTACCTTGTCCTGGTTTAGTCTGATTTATTTTAGTTTTATATTTCTGGCTCTGGATGGCTGGGTTTAGTCCAAGAGTCTGGCATTGAGAACATAACAAAATTAGTACTTGAGAGACTCTTACTTTTACATAAACGCAGTATTAGCAAACTATTCATTTGAGATATTTACATTCCTGTTGCAGACTTCATGTGGTCCTGGTCTAGACCTGGTTAGTCCTGGTCTAGTTCTGGGTTAAGACTAGTATGAATTTTGAAGTGGTGTTTGTGAACAAGTGTTAATACAAAACCATCTATATTCTATTTGATACTAAAGAATAGGCCCAACAGACAATTTTCAACACAAAATAACTATACTTTCTTTATGTTACCATGTGGGTTTATACTAGGCTCTAAAGCTATTAGAAAAAAAAGTCAATTTCTGTCTTCTTTATGTGATTTTTTTCAAGATAGATACTTATTCTAGGTTTGGTCAAAGGTGGGTAGTAGATGTGGTGTGGTACTTTCGCTATCAAGTCTAATATTAATCCTGGTTTAGTCCTGGTTTAGTGTTAGATTCTGAATGTTCTGTATGTGATTATGAACAGCATTAATGTTAATAAGATTAACATGTTATTAACATTAATTGGGGGGATTCAACACATCTATGTCATCGCGAATCACGTACCCCCACTTAAAAAAATCCCCACTACACCACTGGTAGTACTCACATTTACATTACTCTTGAGTAACTTCTGAAAGAAATTGTACTTTTCAGAGTAATTTTTAGCAGCACTTTCACTCCTACTTTAGTAATTTCAATAGACGGAACCGTACTCTGCTTGAGTAAAGTTGTGGTCCCTCTTCCTACTGTGAGTAAGTCTACAAGTGACACTAGCTTCATGTTGACAATATGAAATGTTTTGAACATTTCAGTTTCTTGGACAGCTCCTTCAGTGTTTTTTTCCAAATGTTCAATCTATCCTGTTGTGTCTATTTTTGTGTCTAACAGATTTTAAGTTTTGTCCTTTTGTACTTTGGCTACTCTACCCGCCTCTCATTTTGGTACTAGTTTGTTTTTCCCAGCTATGAACATTGAAGATGCTACAGGCTTTACACACAAAATGAGGCAGAAGACCTTCCAGAAGAAATACTCTGAGGTAACGAACCATTTCATCACCAAGCGAAACCCCTGAGAGGAGTAAGAATGAGGCTTTTTCTGTTGGGTTCCCCTGGAGCCCCTTGGAGACACTTTGGACTCTTCCTCTCCTCAAACTGCCCTGACACAGATCTGCTGACCCTCCCTGACCAGTCCCTCTGTTAAACTGAGACCTCTGGATAAGACACAAACACCACTGAGAATCACAGTGTAAATGATGTTGCAGCAAAACCTGAATTCCCCTCAGGAAAATAAACTGTCTCCCTCGTTATAGTGAGGATTAGTCTCCGTTTTGTTTTCGAGGTACTTCTGTCGTCGTGTGCTGGGCCGTCTCTTGTGTATCTCACCTGTGGGCTCGCTGTCCCGGTGCTGTTTGGAGGGCGGTTCGTCTGTGTCCCAGGGCGTGAGCTGGTTTATGGGCGTCTGTCCCCACCTCACCCCCGGAGCCAAGAGCAGCCCTGGAGCCTGACTGTCCCCTGGAGACAGCCCCGAGACCTGAAATACACAGAGGAGAGGACAGTGAGTACAACAGGCGTGGATGTGTGAAAAGCACCTGAGTACAGTGTTTTCTCTTTAATACAGGGGACTAAACAACAAGGACTAAACACTGGAAGAACAAAATCTCACTTTGTTACTCCTTGTATTGTTATTCACATAAAAAAGCAACTACACTGTTCAAAAATACTGCTTAAATATGAAATACAGTGGGATTTAAACTCCACAAATACTATGAAAGAAAAAGACAAAATGTAGAAAGTAGTTTGCCACTATAATCTGAACAAAATCTATGGGAAACACAGGGCTTATACTTTCAAATATGACACAAGTCCATGTTTGGGCTTGCTGTAGTCCTGGTTTAGTCCCAGCTAAGTTTTGGTTTAGTCCTGGTTTAGTCCTAGTTGAGTCCTCGTTTTGTCCTAGTTGAGTTCTGGTTTAGTCCTGTTTTAGTCCTGGTTTAATCCTGGTTTAGTCCTGGCTGAGTTCTGGTTTAGTCCTGCTTTAGTTCTAGTTATTATGACTATTTTAAAATTATTTTAATTGGCGTATTTCACTTCGGGCTGAGGGCACAGGCTTTAGCGCCCAGACCAATGACATCACAGTCTCTGTTTATTTACTGTAGTCTGATTGGACAATGGTCCTGTCACTCACTCACGTCAACCGGCTGCGTCAACTCGTAGCATCTTCACGATTAGCGGCAGCTGCTACTTCAGCCTAAACCTCCACACAAGAAATGACGAGGAGAGAGTCAAAGAGCGAACACATGGATTTATTAAAATGGGACACAACGACAGACCCACCGCTGGGACCCGGGGCTGTCGCTACTGCTGCTGGACTCGGGACAGTCGCCGCCGGGACCCGGGACAGTCGCTGCCGGGCCGGGGCTCTCGCTGCTGCCGCCGGGGCCAGGGCAGTCGCTCGTTGCTCTATTCGCCTTTGGCCGCTCGTTTCTGGGTGTAAAAGTTTGACCTGAGCATAGCGCGCAGAGGCATAATTCTACCTGGTGTCCTGGTGCTGATATGGACTGACCGTAACTTTCACATTTAAGTGGGAAGTGGGATTAAGACTAATTTTAAAACCGCTCGTGCACTCGGCTCCTGGACCTCGCGTCACGGACCAGACTGGACCAGGATTTGGACCAGTTTCATCTCTTCATATTGGACAATAAACTTTTGGAGACAGAACCAGTGGGACAGTGGATAGAGGAAACACTCTGCTTCAGTCTCTGGAGAAGGTAAGAGGCTGGTTTTCATTAGTTTGCTACAAATCTGAACTTGGAGCCTCACAGGTAAATAGTGTTATAGTGTTAATAGTTAAATAGTGTTATAGTGTTAATAGTTAAAGTTATAGTTTATAGTTAAATAGTTATAGTGTTAATAGTTAAATAGTGTTATAGTGTTATAGTTAAATAGTGTTATAGTTAAATAGTGCGTAAATGAGCTCGTGTGTGAGATGGAGCTGCTCTGGTTGTTCTGTCATGTGCTGTAGAAGCGGCATCTGTGTTCATGTTGTGATCGTAGCCTCTTATTGTAGTTTTGTTGACGTTGTTGGGTCTGGGTGTGAGCGGCGTGTTATGTTGTGTTGTTGTGTAAAGTTTGCGCGTGGCTGTTCATTGTGCTCAGATCCATATTGTTCAGCCACTAGTAACCAAAATGTCTGTTTCTGGTATTTCTTATAATACTATAGACTAGATATATAATACATATATTATTCATAATATATATTTATAAATTTGGCCTTGGTGGTGCCCCTCCCAAAAATGATACCATCAGCTGCCACCTGGTTCAGTCCTGGTTCAGGACAGTAGTGCAGATATCATGAGCCTCTGCAGGTTGTTTTCACCATTGCCAATAGCTCCGGTTTCACATTTAAGTTAGTTATTTTATATTTGTTATTTTTTATATCTCTTTTATGTCAGGAGAAGTGTGTGGACAGCATACCCTCATGTACCACGCTCACTACAGCCCTGGTGCTGCCCGATGCGTGGCCATTTCTAGTTCAGAGGTGTTTTTGACGAGAGGCTGTTGTTTAATGTTTACAACCAGTGGCCTTATTGTTTTTTAATAAACCTCAACCTTTTATTATTGTCTTGTGTGCGTATCGTCTACCACACAACCTCAACAACTACTGCAGCTAATAATAATAATATTAATATAATAAAGATAATAATAACAACAACAACACATAATTAGCCTAATACTGTTAAATAAAAAGGTGTTTGATAGCGTCTCTGCTGTGTGTGACTCCACCGTGTTAAAATATTTCTCAAATGGCAGTGCCCCCCCTGCTGGTGACCCACGCCCCTCCAGTAGATGTGCTCTGACGCCGACTCTGAAGTTGAGTTTTGGTTTAGTCCTGTCTTAGTTTTGTTTTGGTCCTGGTTGAGTATTAGTTTAGTCCTAATTTAGTCACAGTTAAGTTCTGGTTTACTCCTGGTTGAGTTTTGGTTTAGTCCTAGTTGAGTTTTTGGTTTAGTTTTGGTTTAGTCCTGGTTTAGTTCTGGTTTAGTCCTAGTTGAGTTTGGGTTTAGTCCTACTTTAGTCCTGGTTTGGTCCTGGCTGAGTATTGGTTTAGTCCTGGTTTAGTTCTGGTTGAGTTTTGGTTTAGTCTTAGTTGAGTTCTTGTTTAGTCCTGGTTTGGTCATGTTTTATTCTTGGTCTAGTCTTGGTCTAGTCGTGGTCTAGTCCTGCTTTAGTCCTGGTCTGGTCCTGGTTTAGTCCTGGTTTTATCCTCATTTCGTGCAACGTTAATCCTTTGAGAAAATACCGTTGAGTCCTGCAGTTGCGGTACAGTCCTGGCTTCGTTTTTGGTTAGGTTGAGTCTTCGTTTAGTCCAAGAGGATTGACAGAGGGGAGAGAGAGTGGATTTACAGCAATAACTCCAGAGACAGGAAAGCCAAAACAACGCAGGATAGTATAGAAAAGATCACGGCTTATTTTTAGACGCGCTGAAGTAAATTATTATATACAGTACGATAGAAATATGGAACCACTGGGAAATTCCGAACCCTCAAGAGAAATGGAGTGTAGTCTATAAAAGTACTTCAGTATTTGTGTAACAGTCGACTTCATAGTGCCGTGTACATTTGAATATATGGATCTGTCCACTGTAAGGCTGTGTTTACATTAAGTCTTATGAATAAAACATGGTGCTCGGCGGACTGAGATGTTACAATTCTGAAAAGCAAATATGACACGCAGGAAAAGACAAAATATATATAAGGACATGTTTGCTGAATAAATGTGCTTTGATAAACTGTTTGTGTAGTTCTAATGAAAATCCCGCATCTGTAAAGGGTCAGGAGGGTCAGAAGAATAAATTCACATTATCAGTCTGGGACGGGTCTTCGCTGAAAGAGATCGGAAAACTCGGAGCGTCACGGCGGCTGTTTTGAATCTGATTTGGTCGAAGCGTCACAACAGCGAAGGAAGACAGAAAATCAAACTTTAGTTGCATCCAATTGAGAGGAAAGCACAGACATTTTCCCCTGTCCTCAAATGCACAAAGCTTTTACCTTCTGCATGTTTTTCACAAACTAAACAGTCTGTGCTGAGGCGAAAATAGGCTGAAGTACGACTGGGGCATAGAACTCTGAAGGTGAGCCCAAGCCGTCGTCGTTTTGTTTTCACTTTGACATACCTTCAATACGACATGTCTCTATTTAAACATGATGGTTTTCTGACACTTTTTAGAATTACTGTTCCGACACGTCACATACGGTGTTCTCCACAGATCTCCTACATGACGAAATGAATGAAGGACAAAAGGCCCATGCAGCCTCCATTTTAGATTTGATTTACCTGGTTAGTTTGGTTAGTTTGGGTGCTTCCACTTTAGCTCTGCTCTTTTTCAAAATGCATGACGGTTTTCGATGGAGATCAGTTAAAGGTTGTATAGAGGATTTTCCAAGGAACGAGAAATCCAGCGACTGTTTGTCCTTTTTCAAATGTTGCGCATGCGTGAAACCACCCCCCCTCCCCTACAGCTCCTACGTAGAAACGCCTCCTCCCGCCTCCTCCTTTACGCCAGAAACAGGTTTGTTTACAGCCGGTGCTGCACATGACTTGTAAACAACTAAACTACAGTGTTGGTTAGGCAAGACGGAGAAGTGAGGAGCGGGGGGAGGGGGTGTGCGGACATTTCGTTCGCGGACGAGAAGTGAGGAGCAGGGAGAAGAGCGGAGCAGGGAGCAGGGAGAGGAGGAGAGGAGAGAGGGAGAGGGGTGCGTGGAGATTCCGTGCCCGGAGAAGTGAGGAGCAGGGGGAAGAGCGGATCGGGCAGAGGGAGAGAGAGAGCAGGAAAGGGGAGCAGAGAAGGTGCGCGGAGATTCCAGTGCGAATGAACTAGCTTACAACACGCAGCAGCAAGCGGACTCTTTCTTTGCCTTGAAAATTACGTTTTCAGACATAGGATATCGCTTTCGTGTCCTGAAAAACGTTTGTCTCGCTCTTGGAAATAAAGTACGTTTTCATAATAAGCAGAAGTTTCCTGTCCAGGAGTAATTTGTGGACCAGTGCGTCAGTCTTTAGACCCTGCGTCTGCTTCAGTCGCGCCATCGCTGGAATGAATCTTCAAGAATCACCTTAGTTTGGCTTCGCTGCTTTTCCCCTTGTCTTCTTCTTTCAGCGACCTCAAAAACGGACTTTCTTTTGCGGCGAACTGCTCCTGGATTCTTGTCGCCATTGCAACAAACTTTGTGCTAACTGCGAGGAAGATATAGGTCAAAAAAAGCCGCTAAGAACTGTTGCGTTGGTGGAGTAAACAGCGTCTGTGCGGCTTGCGTCTGTGGACTGTGTGACAGGCGTACGTAAACCACGTACCGGCGGCGCGCAGGCAAGTCAGTTACGCTAGAAACGTAGGGAGATTGATTGACAGCCTGTCAGCTAACAGATAACGAGGCAGTGTCGTTATCTATTGGCAAATGTTTAGCCCCACCACGTCCAGAGTTGATGAATTTTTATTCTCTTTTTTTTTGGTCATCATAATTACAAGGCTAC